TTGATTACTTGTGGATTTCACATCATGCATTCTGATCCCACTTATCTCCCTGACCCCTCCAGTCCTCCCTCTGCTCTTGCAAATTTCCCCCACAATAAAACAAAACTTAAAAGAGTAAAACCAAATCTAACAAAAAAGGGGGCGGGCGGGAGAAGAATCTCATTGTGGAAGCTGTAGTGGGCCCTGTTGGGTCACACAAGTTTACCCTTTAGTCTATTCATATCTGCTTGCAACTGTTCATTGTCACCAAGCACTGGACTCATCCGTCTGTCTCAAGGCCTCTGGCTTCTGCTACACCAGGGAAAATGGATTCTCACCGGGGCTCCTCTTTGATATCCTGTTGTTGTCCTGTGTCGTGGAGATCCTGCTGTTTTGGATCTGTAGTTTGGTCCCCTTCACATGCTCTAACAGTTCGAAGATGAGGTGGGTGTTGGGGTGGGCTAGCTCATAGCCATGGTTCTGGGCCTGGCTGTTAGCTACCAGTTTTCCCTGGTGGCCATTACCTGTGCGAGCTCTCCAGAACTGCCTCGGCTAGCTCACCCAATGCAGCCTGAAGCAAGGAGTGGGGACAGTTCTCCTGCTCTTCAGGTCTTCATGTCTGGTTCACCCACACTCGCAACACCAAGGCCAGCTCTACTGTTTGCCCAGACAAGATACAGGGCCCTCTCTCCTGATTGCTGTAGGGGACCTTCCAGGGAGGGGAAGGGGGTTAGCTCTCCTGCTCTCAAACCCTCAGGGCTGGCTCACCTGCACCCAGGACAACAGGGTCAGCTCTAGTGTGCTTCCCAGGATGGGTGAAGGGCCCGGTCTCTTGTGTGCTGCAGCCGGTGAGGGGCAGGGCTAGCTCACCCACTCCCAGGGCCGGCTCTCTCACCTGCCACAGGTGATAATGGGTGGTGTGGTCGGGGCACAGAGGAGGATTTTTAAAACGTGTATAAATCGTTTTATGACTAAGCTGAGCTAAATAACACACTGTTATGATTTGTATGAGAAATATCCCTCTCCCCCCCACCCACCCACACACACAGAGGCTTGTGTGTTTGGAGACACTATAGAACGTTTGGCTGGTAGGGCTTGGCTGAAGACAGTGGACATCAGTGGTGAGGGTTTGGGTCTCTCACCCAGCCCCATTTCTTTCCATATCAGCTTTGTGTGTCCTGTTTTGATGTCTGTCAGGAGATGAAGGGCCAGTCTTCTGCTTCCTGTTTCACAGCAGCTTGCTCCCAAGCTCGGTTAGATCACAGGTGCTAGAGTTGCCTCGCTCCCAGAAATCAAGCTGTGCCCCTGCAGCAGACAGGTCCCTGCTGTGAAAGCACATAGATCCCATAGAGGATGGAAGCAAGCCCTGCCCCTCCCCCTCAGAGCTGACAGATGAATTTGTGGTCATAGCCAGTATCTGGGTCCTTGGCACTGAGTGCCTAAGTGGAATTTCCCATCTCCCCGCATCTGAAAAGACACAGAAGTCAGCTATTCCCTCTGTTCAGGGGGTATCTCTGAAGGCTCTCTTTCTCCTTCAGACCCACCCACCCATCTCCACCTCTCTGTGTGTCACCTCTTTCTCTCTTATTCACCTCCCTGAAACTTCTGATGGAGCCCCTCTCCAGGTGTTTGAGGGAAGCCTCCACTCCCCTTTCTGTTTTGGTCACTTCAGCGCTCATCTTCTCACCTGATCTCTGTCCCTTCCCAATTAATCTCCCCCCCTTCAACCCCCAATCATGACCCTTGTGGTACCCAGTTCTCCTTACTAATATAAGAAATGCATCCTTATGGTCTGCTTTCAAGATGAGGTACATTTAGGGTCCATCAGGATTACAAAGAAGTTGGAGGCAATAGGTTCCTGTCTTTCCCTGGCTAGCAGCTGGTGCCTGCTTGTCTAGTCGCTCTCAGTTCATTTTCGGATTGAAGAGTTGCAGACAGTCGGCTACATGACTGAATCCATGTGTCCAAAAAGGGGAGGGAGGGGAATCTTGGCCCCGGGCAGACAGGGACTTTGGGTAGGAGGCTGTGCTGGCTCGGTGTGGGAAGACTGTAACCCTCTGGAGTACCAGCCTGTAAGGGAGAAAGACAGTAGAAGTAGATTTTAGTTTAGGGACTATAGGAAGCACTGTTTCATGCCTGAGACTTTTACATTCTCTCCACCCTGACACTCACTTCTCTGGAATCTTAAAAGAAAACCTGTCTCATGTTCTCTTGTATCAGGGCAGCGAGGTCCAGGTTTGTAAGGCTCTAGAGGAGAGCGAGGACTTTGTTGTGAATGGGTTTAGAGACTGTGTGTTATAGTCCAGGAAGCATCTGGCTGCATTCTGCGCACGACTTGGAAATTTGAATGTGGCCAAATCAAAAGTAATAGACTAAATTGTCTGGTGATGCAATTTCAAGAGAGCACAACATTCAAGCTGGGGTGGATTGCTAGCTGCTCTTGGTCAGATTTAGAGCGAGGGAAGCAGAAAGATGTGCAAACTTGCGGTTTGGTGAAAAAAGAGGTATGATAGAGTTAATGTTGTACATAGTGGATAGAAGGTCAGTGGAAGGTATTCCATTAGAGAGACTGACACATAAGGGAAACCTCACACTTGCACTTGAATAAGAGGAACAGCATCTACAGGCTAAGACCCCATGCTTGGGGAGCTTAAACAGCCAGTCTTTGCTGAGACTGAGGACAGAATGCAAACTCATTTGGAAAACTTCCATTCCAAAAGAAAGGGACTTTACAGAGAACTCCCAGGGCATCCATCTCCAGCAGGTCCATCTAGGGGAAAGTTTCCCAGTTTTATACAGGGAGATGTTCAGAAACCATTGTAGCTGTGGTAGAAGGGACCCTTGGCAGTACCTAAGCTGGAAGCAGGACTCTGGCATCATCCACATGGTGCTGATTTTGGAGGGATGCAGGGTGCACCAGTGATGCAGGGTGAAAGGGACTTGTGCCAACTTCCCAGAAAGCTGCTGACAGAAAGCCAGACAATGTGAAACTCTTGAATGGGCGTGAAGGAAACAGTGAGGAAGAATCCTAAACTGCAATGGAGACCTCAGGTTATGGGAGATACCAGAACTGTGGATGTCTTCCAAGAAGAGCTACAGGTGCTGAGCAGAATTCGGTTGACAAAGATAACGTTCTGCAATCAATAGAGCTGGAGAGGTAGGGCTTGCCAAGCCCACTGAGCCCAGATGATGCCATCTTGAGCTCAAGATGCCAACTAAACATCAAACTTAAGCATTTGATATTTACCCTGCTGAGTTCCACTCTTGCTTTGGTTTGATCTTCACTTCCTGTTTCCTGTGGCGGTTAGCTTCAGTTTCAACTTGACACTACCTAGGATCACCCGAGGAGAGGGTCTCAATGAGGGATGGTGGACATTTAGTTGGCCTGTGGCCATGTCTATGGGTAACTAGGTCTTAATTAAGTTCATTGACATGGGAAGACCCAGGCTGCTGTGGGCAGCACCATTCCCTAGGCAAGGAGCCTAAACTATCTACAAATGAAGAAATCCAGCTGACAGAAAGTGATCGAACAACTGGGCACATGTTTCTGCTTTTGATTGTGGATGTGATGTGACTAGCCATGTGAAGTTTCTGCCTCGATGTCCCCCTCAGTGATAAGCTGTAACTTGGAATTGTCAGCCAAACAAACCCTTGTCCTCCTAGGTTTTTTTTTTTTTAAATTGGGCTGTTTTTATCACAACAACAGAGATGAACCTAGGACTAGCCTCCATTTCTCCCCTTTAGAATGGAGACAGATACCCTGAGCCTTTGTTTGTGGGGAATGCAGTACTTGGTGTTTTATTTTTAAGGGTCACAGTTAAGAGATTGCCTTGAGTCCCAGGAGAGACTTTAGACCTTTGGACAGTGTTGCAACAGCTAAGTCACAGGGACTTTTAAAGTCAACTGGAAAATCTTTGGATTGTGAGGTGGCTATGAGCTTATTGGGGTCAGGGACAGAATGCCATGGTTTGTCTGTGATATGTCCCTACAGGTTCATGTCTTTGAACACTCAGTTCCTAGCTCATGGCTCTGGATTTGGAAGTTGTAGAGTGTTGGGAAGTTAAGGAGGCCATCTGGAGGAAAGGACTTAAGATTTATAGCCTGGTTCATCTGTGTTTTACCCGTGTTCTGTCTCCTGTGCCATCAAGATATAAGGGGATTAGAAGCCCAAACGTCAAGCTCCTGCCACCTTTGTGTCTTTTTGTTTGTTTGTTTGTTTGTTGGCTTTTCGAGACAGGGTTTGTCTGTGTAGCTTTGAGCCTTTCCTGGATCTCGCTCTGTAGAGCAGGCTGGCCTTGAACTCACAGAGATCCGCCTGCCTTTGCCTCCTGAGTGCTGGGATTAGAGGCATGTGCCACCACCACCTGGCTACCTTTGTGTCTTACAAGAGGATATAGGGCTTATACAACGTGTGGCTTGCTTTTCTTTTCCCCCTTCCAGGCTCTAGATTATCTTTACAGCCATTGGTTGGTTCCTTGTGATCCTATAGGTGTCTTTAGTTTGTTGTATTTTGTTGGTGAACCCAAAGCTGTGTCGTGGCCTGACTGTTATGGAGAAGTAGGAGCTTGACGTGACTTTTATTTAGAGACTCTCTATGGTGTGAAGAGCCGCGGATGACAAGAGATGGAGAGTAATGACTGATTTGGGTTCCCGCTCCCTTACAGCACAGCATGCCTGTCAGTCAGGGCAGTCACCTGCACAAGCTGCTCTCAAAACTCACAGACCAGGAGGGGCTTAAACTAGACATCTGTGAGTGACAGCTCCAGAGGCAGCACAGTCCAAGGTCAAGAACACCAGCGCCTCATGAAAACCCTTTGATGGACGCAAAGGAAAACAAGGCTGGAAGTAAACGGTGCAAGTTCGAGAGGAAATTCTCACAAGGGAACAACGTATTAAACACAGTGAACTCCACTCCTTACCGTGTGAGTCAGGGGATCAGCAAATGCCTTGATCCAAAAGGAAACTAAAACCCGACACAGCAACACTCCCTAAGCAGCAAAATCAGCACACAGAAATTCTGATCACAGTTCAGTACCATTGGATCTTGTTTATTTTATTTTTTGTAATTCTTAATATCGTCGCTTTTCACTTCCTTGGCTAATTTATTGCTAAGGGGTATTTTGAGTGACTGTGAATGGAAAGAATTTCTAATTTTTGTCTTAGCATGGTCAGTACGGGCAAACAATATTCTTGTCACTCTCTCAAATGCAGAGCTTTTAAATCTCAGTGCTTTGTGAAGTCTCTAGGTGTTCCCAGGTGTAGAGCCGTATCTATAAGTGGAAACCAAGATGAGCCATCATGAGGAACACTCCTACGAGAACATCACGATGGAACCCAGGTTTTGTGCACTAATTTAAAAAAACATTAATATTAAAGAATTAATCATTACAACACACAGTCCCTTCGAGCCTTCGATGATACAGCATGTCAGAAGCCAAGGGCAGCCAGAGAAGACGGCTCACCTTGTGACTCTCAAAATGGAAGACCTGAGACCCATATCCTAACAGCCCCTTTCAGAACACATCCCTGAAGCTCAGACTTCCTTCCCTTGAGCTATGCCCCATGAAATCCCACCACCTCACTCACATTAGTGCCATGGGGTAGAACCCTTTCCCTTGGTGTGAGGGGACTCTCAGCCACAGGTGCTCTCTGCTTAGCAGGTCCCAATTACTTGGCTCTGGCCATCATGGCAAAAGATTCAACAACAGAAGTGACTTCTCCCAACCCAGTAGAAGAATGGGTGAAGGAGTGAAGAGAATAGTAACTGCCCAACTTCTTTCCACGCCTCGAAGAAGACCAACTTCTTGTCTTCCCTATGGAGGCTGTCTCTGGGCCTGTGACCACACTGTCTTGGGAGGCGCTCTGGGGGATTGGATTAGGCACAGCCCAGTAGCCTCATTTCACATGAATTTCCTGGTTAAAGCCCCGTCTCCACAGTGACTCATACGTAAAGGCCATGGACTTTGGAGTTTGGCACACAAAGCTCAGGTAGACACACTTCAGTACTGAGAACAGGAGATCCCGTGAAATAGTTGTTTTAGGACAAAACTTTTTTTCCCCTCGACTCTCACAGCTCTGAGGAAACCCCCAAGAGGCTTGTGCTCTGAGCCACTTTGACAATTCAGGAGATAAATGCTTTCTCCAAGGACCCTGGCCCTTGACCTCCTGAAAGAAGACAACCATTCCCGAAGAGACCTCACACATGATCAGGAGTCCAGGAAGTCCTCTTGCCTGCATCTCTGATCTTACCACTACCTGGTCCTTAGCAAGTGCATATGTCCCTACACTTATATACGTTTTACTGAGTTACCAGTTAATATGCTCCAACTCCATTGTCAAGCTACTTGAACAAAAACACAGAGACAGCTTTTTATCTGTCTATCTACATCTATATATCTCTATCTATACATAGTCTACTTATCTATCTGCCCCCACAAACTCATTGAGTGATTGAATATGTGTGTGTGTGTGTGTGTGTGTGTGTGTGTGTGTGTGTGTGTGTGTGAAAAATGTAGGCTGTATTTTTGTGGCTCGTGTCTAATGGAGAACATAAGAAAGGGAATGTCTTCTGGCTTTGTTCTGAGGCCCTTGGAAGGCCACAGGTGCCTGGAGTGACTCTTGGAAAGGATGAGGAAAATCTCACCCAGGGACTGCTTATTGTCACCAAGATCGCCCCAGTCCCTTCCCTGGCCTTGCAGTCCCTGACCCTGGAGGTCTTTAACTGTGACCTTTGCAGGATTGCAGAAAATGGTAGTGTGACCCCCCAAACAACATCCTGATGGCAAAGAAGTGTGACCTCGGGTGTCAGGACAGAAGCAGGCTGGTGGCCTGACTGGGACCCCAGATGCAAAGATGACTATCTGACAGGCCGGAAGGTGAGGAGGGGGCTGGAGGTGGGCATCAAAACAAAGCGGTAGACCATCTGCACATCCTCTTGCCTGAGTGTCTCCACCTGGAAGGATTTCAGCACCTGGAACACAAGCGGGGGAGGGGCTCTCCATCTGGCCTCCTCAGCAGGGCAGAGCACTGGCCCATCTCCAGCTAAACTGCTCAGTGCCACCACCATGCTGCAAAGAGGACTTCCTGTGGGGCCCTGAGATCCTCACCAAACACAGGAAGCCCAGACAGACCCTGAAGGCCTATGCTGTTAGTCCAAATACTGCCCCCATTAGCACCCCCATCCCACAGTCCCCACACAGAGCCACTCACATGGTGTAGCAGGAGCATCATCTCCACCTCTGCCACTCGCCTCCCCAGGCACTGGCGCACCCCAAAGCCGAAGGTCAGGTGCAGGAAACTTCTTTTCCTCTCCAGCCAGCGCTGGGGCATGTAGCGCTCGGGTCTCGGAAATACTGAAGGGTTTCGGCCCATGGAGTAGAGATAGAGTAGGACCAATGTCTGTGGGCAGATGCCAAGGGCAAAGTCAACTGCCTTCTAGGGTAATGCAGAACTGGGCAATTGGTGGGTGTATGAGGATCACTCACCCCAGCAGGGACATGGTAGTTCTGAAGCACCAAGTCAGACTTTAGAATTCTCTCCAAAAAGCCACCAACAGGATAGAGCCTGGAGGTGGGGAAGCAACAGGAGAGACCTCAGCGATGAAGGGCTTCTCCTGTCCACATCTGCGCCTTTCTCCCTCACGTCCCTGGAGGGTGTGGTTCCTGGCTATGCTGAGCTCAGCCAACCTCCAGAGGAACATTAGCATCCAGCCATAGGAAGAAGAGCAGAGAACATAGCTCCCCTCGAACCCCAGAAAAGACAGGGGACAGAACAGCAGGGAAAGGGCAGGCAGCACCTACCTCAGGGTCTCTTTAAGGGCAGCCCGCAACAGGGGCAGGTCAGACATAGCCCTCTGAGGGTTTGCAGCGATGCTAGCCTCGGCAGCCAGGCTCTCCTGGCGAAGTGCCCGCTGAATGTCCGGGTTCCGAGCCAGCTCAAAGAGGGTCATTAGCAAGGGGGAGGTTGTCTGCGGGAGCCAGAGAAGTCTCAGACACTGTCCCTAGTCCTCCACAAAGGGAAGCCCTTCTACAAAAGGATGACCCCCCCTCCCCCTCTGGTAGAAGTACATGGCCAGAGCAGGGTGGGACTCTGGGAACCATGACCCTAAATCCTGAGGATCAGGCCACAGACATCCCATTCCTGGACACTCTCTCAGCTCCTGCAGGATCTGCTGCTTACAGCCTGCTCTGGTACCCACTGGGGTGGGCCTTCAGCATCACTTAGGGACACTGCCACTTACAGCTAAATTCTCATAGTGATTGGCATCCCTAGGCCACTGAGTACTGACCTCCCTGCCCAAGCCTGAAATGGGTCCTAGTTCCTGTTGCTACCTCCTCCCAACATCAGTGAGAATCCCTGGAGTGAGCCCTGAGCCTCTATGTCCAGAATGCCTCTTTATGGCACAATCTACAGAAACAGCCTCTTAAGTCTCTTGCTGACGTCACCAGCCTGCCCCCGTGCTACACCTGGGCATGCTGACTTGGTGATCATCTATCCGCAGCCTGATGCATGGCCCTTCCTGATGCGACCCTCACCCCTGCTGGCCTCATCTGTCCCCCTGTCACCTGCCTTAGGCAGCCAGCCACCCCCAGGAGCTTTGTGTTGCTGCTTGCAAATGGGCCCGCCCTGAAGGGTCCCCTTTCACGAGCTCCCTTGATCTCTGCACTGCCCTGTACCTTCACCTGAAGATCTCCCTCTTCCTGTACCTCTGGGTACAGCCTAGAGCAACAGTCTCCTGGCAGAAACGGCCTGGGATTGCAGCGCATAAAATGCTTTTGGAGGATACAGACAGGGAGTCACAGGGGATTCCCACAGGCTGGCCTGACCGTGTCTACACTCCCAGCGGTGAGCTCAATGGAGTTGGCTTTGATGGCGTCGAGAGGCAAAGCTCCCTGGGATATTAGTTCTGCCACGATGCCACTGTAGGTCTGAGGGTTGCCAAGTCTGAGCTCCTGATGCACCTTCCAGATACATCTGCTGGCTGGAGATGTGACATGGGAGCTTGAGAACAGGCAGGTCCACTGTCTTGTTTGTACCCCACTCTCATGGCCAATGACAACCCCTGCTCCTCTCCCACAACCTCTGGGTCAGTTCAGCCATAGCATTAGTGGGAACATTAAAAGAACAGGAAGCAACGGTCACCATCATTTGAGATGACCCCAGCGTAGCCATGAGTAAAGGTGAATGGCAATTACCTGACCATTGTCCCCTACCCCATGGCGCTGCCCAGGCGATTGACCCTCACCATACTCAGAGATGATATCCCAGGACTCAAAATGTTCTTTCCACACCCGGCTGCTTGTCCAGTGAGTCAGGCTCCTGGGCAGGAACATGAGCTGTGTGGTGGTCTTGAACATGGAATGCAAGGCATGGATGAACTTCAGGCTGCCAGGGCTCAGGTCATGGCCAAGGAGGCCCAACCGCTCCCCAAAAAGAGCAAAGTTGCTCGCTGCAGAAAAAAAAAATGGTATCGCTGAGACAAGGCAGCCCCTAGCCTCAAAACTGCCTCATCTTTCCCTCCCTACAATCCCCTCCCTGACTCCTTAAATTGGGACCTTCCTCCAGTCACATACCTTCTATACTGTAGTTGAAGAGGCTTTGCTGGACATCCATGGTGAGGCTCCCACGAGCATTCTGAAAGACCTTCTTCTTCAGGGCCTCCAAGAAGTCCCTTGCCACCATGTCCACCATGGGGACAAACTTTTGAACGGCCTTTGGTGACAGCACATTTGGGTTCAGCCTCAGTCGGTTGAAGCGCCATTCAGGCCCATTTCTGCAGGGCACAGAGCAGGGCTACAGACACCTCCCAGGAAAGGCCTGGCCCAGGCTTGTGCCCATCTTTCTGCCTCTCAAGGAAATTGGGGCAAAGGGTGTCAGGGTCAGAAGCAGGCTCTGCAGGTCTTGCGCCCACTTCTTTCTTCCATCACAGCCTCTATGTATTGGACAGAATTCACTAAGTCTGAGGTGGACTTGGCACATCCACACCCAGGGAGAAAAGAGACTCTGCTGTCAGCTCTGCCCACCTGGCCTATACCCCACAGAGGGAGAAGCCCTAGCTGAGCTCACCCACCCTGTCAGTCCTGTAGAGTGTTTGGTCTCTGAGTCATCAGCATCTGCCTGTCTCAGCTAAGGGATCCCATCTTCCCTAGGGCAGGAGCCACAGCAGAGGACCACTCACAACATGCACAAACCACAGTCCAGGGCACGGGGCTCCCATGGAGATACTCCAGTAAATGACAGGCAGGAGTTTGCACACTGAGCCACACATGCAGAATGCCTGTCCTTTGGTGTGCTAAAGCCTGCAACAATGGACAGTGACCACATGCACGTGTACATACACATATGTACCCACACAAGACCTCAAAAACACTCAAGTCCCTGTGTGCACAATACTTAGGCAACAGCCATGCACAAAGATGCAAATACACACAGAGTCACAGATGCAGACAACACCCACTTTCATGTCAAGGCAAAAAGCATGGCCACATATTTGCATATGCAAGAATATAAGCAGGTGCATACATGCACACACACACACACACACACACACACACACACACACACACACACACACACACAGGCTTCCTGCTTTCTCAGAGGCACATGCTCATACTTTGCCCACAGGGTCATTTGCATTGGATCTCCCTGCCAGATTCCCTCAGATAAGTGCCTCACCAATACACTCTTTTCCCAAAACTATTTTATTAACGAACAGATTCACTCTGACATGGGCTGGTGTGCCTGTGTGCAGCCTGAAATCCCTGTGTAGGCTCCTCCACACCTCCTAGTGACCTCTTGGCAGCCTGTTCACTCCAGGCACCAGGAACCCCTGCTTAGCCCTCCAGATGTGTATCCAGCTGCAGGAGGGAACTTGCCCCTCTCTTACCCGGGTCATGTTTGATTGTGAGCCCACAAGAGCCCCAGCTTCCTGTTCTCCACTCCTTCGTCCCTAGAACTGTCTACCACATATCTCTCTGAGGGAAATTGCCCCTAATAAATGGAGACTGCATTGCTGGACATCAGGCTATGGCAGAAGCTAGCTGTGGCCCTGAGTCAGCGGTTCTTTTTCTGGGCCAACTTTGAAACTGGTAGAAGTGAGAATCCCATCCTAAAAAAAGCCTATTTACATAGGAGTTTGGGGCAGGAGGCATTCCTCTGCCATCTCCCTTCTCAGGCCCAGGATCTACTTGGCATGGCACCGACCCACGCTTGGGAGTGATTGGTCTCCACACCCCTACCCAAGCAGGATCAGTATCCTATGTCTGGGCCACCAATCACCTCCCTCCTCATTCTCAGTGTCCACTCACAGCAAGAACACGCCACGTCTCAGGCCACGCTGTTCTCTGTGGGCCACCCAGGGCTCCAGGTGCATGCGATAAGGGTGCATACTCTCCACCTGATGCAGCTTCTCAGCATCCTCTGGCATCATCACAGACACAACCTGTGTTCTTCCTATGCTGTACCTGTGGGGTGAAGAACACAGCCCTGCTGAGGGTGGACTGCCCTCCACCTGAGCATCCTGCAAAACCAGCCCTGTCTGTGTGCTTTCTCACCTCAGCCTCTCCAGCCCTTGCTTTCCCCTCAGAAGGGCTATCCCGCTGCCTGCCTGACTCCTCTCCACTTCAGCACTCCTGGCACTCTGTCCTCTCAGCGATGAGCAGTGCCTTTCTCTGTCCACATGGAGAACCATGGTCTCCATGAGTCAGGCCCATAACCTCCTGTGCTCCCTCCCTGTCTTCCTAAGGAGGGAGTGCCTGGTGCCTACTGGGGAATGCAGCACACCTCATACTCTGCAGAGCCTGAGCAACCAGAGGGTCAGGAAGCTCTGTCTGTGCTCAGCTATGGGTCAGGAAGGCCCTTACCTGAAAATGGGCCCCAGCTCCTGGAAGGCCTGATGCATCTCCAGGTGCAGGTTCTCCTGGCCCTGCTCCCTCAGCATCTGTATCATCTTCAGCCACTTGTTTCTGGAGTACAGGGGGATGGCTTCAAAGGGTTGCAGTGTCTTGGGGGCCGGTGCTGCTGTGGTGCCCAGTGCCCTCATCCTGTACTGGCACTGCCAGGGTCTTGCCAGCCACACATCTGCCTTCACCCTGAGTGCCATTGCTTCCTCCTCTCTCCTTCAGCCCATGGCCTTTTATGCTGCCTGTGTACTGTACTGTTGGACCGCTCACGTCATGGAAGAAACTGTCCCTGGACTTGCCTGAGAGATCTGGGCTCTGATCATGGTTGGGGCTCAACTGTCAGTGGAAGTATATAGCCAGCTCCCTAACACCATCTCTGTAAAATCTGCTGGTGGGTGGGAACTGGGAACAGATATAGTGTCCACATGGGGGGCTGTGTTGACTGGGAAGAGGGGGACAGAGATCTCTCTTCTCCCTATAGATGGGAAAAGGAAGATGGATGGATTCTCTCTCTTTTGAAGATATAATAGAAGACCTTGGTTTCTTTTAATAGACTTTGTCTTTTTTTAGCAACTTCAGTAAAAATAAATCTAAGAACTAGAAAGTATATGAGGCATTATATTCTTTCCAGAACAAGTTTGAATTCAGTTTCTTTAAGATAAAAAAAAGGAAGAAAACTTTATTGTTGCTACATGTGAAACAAGAATAACATTGGTGGCACCCTGGTGGTGACGTCACAGTGGCCATGGATCTTGCGGGCAATTCTGCTCATGGGCCAGGACTGTCCTCTGCACAGTCTGTGTTCCGGTCGGACAAGTCTCACCCTCAGCTTCCATCTCCCTTTCTCACACTCTTCAGGGCCTCTGACTTAAGGTGTTGTACATGACTATCCTCCAAACCAAACTTCCACCATCTTGGGGAGTTCTACTGGGTGTGATCACAGAGGACCCTCACCTCTGAGCTTGTTGACTCTTGACACTCCCTCATAGAAGGACCCTCCTCTAAGGATTCCATCACTCCTCCAAACCCATTGTATATCATTGTACCCTAATTGCAAATGGCCTCGGGATCTCTGAGAGAGGCTAGAGTGTATATGATGGAAAGAATTAGGGGAAGGTTCCATCTACATAGCCATGGGGGGAAGCCAGCATTCCAGCTGCTTGCAGACCTTCCAACATAGCTTCTTTAGGGTCACTAATCTCCTGCCTCCAAAGCCCTCACCCATTGCTCTGTAAGTAAGTCTAATAAACTCGCTGGTTCCCCAGGGGCGAACGTTAATAGAATTATACTTTGGCTTGCCATTGGGAGTTTATGAGGAGGAGGATAGACATCACCTTGTCTCCTCGCCTCCTACACCTAGAGAAAACTCTCAGGACTCATGGTAACATGTCCTCTAGTTCTGCCTCAAGAATGTCATGACTCAGAATCCGTTCATTTCCTCACTCGTTAAACAAATATTGAGTGTTAGCGGGTCAGAGTACACACAAAGTATTGGGAACATTCTGTGGGCATGGACAATGAATGTTTAGAGTCCCAGGCACATACACCTAATAGAATTGCCTGCAATGAAGCTGGTATTCTGTGTGGCACTATGAGAGCCTACAATGACAGAAGTGACTTGTAGACCTTTCCTTAATTACCATTGGGGCTTATAAAAAAAAATGATCAGAAAGCACAGAGAATTCCTGGGAACACGCCCTGCCCCAGGCACAGCTTCCTCCTCTGTCAGCCTGTACCTCAGCAGTATACTTCATAGTCGACGGACCCAGGCTGACATTTTTCCATCACTCCATGACCTCAGCTTTCCACAGAGGTTTGGTGCTCCACATGTTGTGGGATTGAAACCTGTAGAGTGGCACCACTGGGGTCTCATACGGGATACTTTGGTCTCCTTAGATGTCTGCCTCTGCCTTCTCATCCCCCTCATGCCACATCTCTGGCAGCCACTGACCTTTCTAATCTCCCACTTCTTTTTCCTTTACACCTGTTCCTGTGTGTGTGTGTGTGTGTGTGTGTGTGTGTGTGTGTGTGTGTGTGTGTGTGTGTGTGTGAATGTGGAGGCCAGGAGACAACTTTGAGTGTCATCTACAGGCACTGTCCACCTTTTTCTTTCTCTTTTTGAACAGGAATCTCTCACTGGCCTGTGACTTGCCAACATGAAGCCTGACTAGCCAGTAAGCAGCAGGGACGCACTTGACTCTACCTTCCCAGCATTGGGATTTCAAATGCATGCCACGCCCTGCCCTCCCCCCCTCCCCGCCCATTCAGGGCTTTGAAAAGCAAAGACTTATTTTATTATGTTTAATTATGTGTGTGAATGTGTGCAAGCATGTGAGCATGTGCATGGGAAGGCAGGTGCTTGCAGAGGTCAGAGGTATCAGACCACCCCTGGAGTTCAAGTTCTAGGAGTTGTGAGCTGCCTGACATGAGTGTTGGGAATTGAACTTGCCTCCTCTGGGAGAGCAGCAAGTGTCCTTAACCACAGAGCCATCTCTCCAGCCTGATGCGGGGCTTTTTAAAAACATGGGTTCTAGGGCTTGAACTCAGATCCTCATGTTTTCAAGGTGAGCACTCCCCAGCAGAGCCATCCAGGCCTCTCCCAGTGCCTTCTTCCCTCATAGCGTTGAGTCATGTACCTTGTAGGCTTTTCACATCGGCTTCTTTCTCTTAGTAATTTGAGTTTTCTCTGGTGGACCCACCATTTGCTTTTAGCATTGAGTAACACCGCAGGTTCCGTCTCAGCCATGGTTGATTTGTCTGTTTACCTACAAAAGAGCGTCTTGATTTCTCCCAAGTTTATTAACCAGGGATAAGGCTGCTGGAAACTTTTTCTGTGGATCCTACCTGCTGTTTATTCGAATAAACACCAGTGCACACACTTGCAGCCTGTAGCCTGCCTTGATGAGCAGGATTTCCAGAGTGGCTGCACCTGCGTTCTCATCGGCAATGAATGAAGGTTCCTGGTGCACCAAGTCTATACCAGCTTAACGATAGTGCTTTGGATTTGTGCCATTCTGAAAGGTCGACATTGGGTGCCTTCCTCCTAGGGACAGGGGGATGTGGAGGCCAGAGAACAACCCACAGGAACTGGTTCCTTCCTTCGACCATGAGAGTTCCGCAGACCAAACTCAAGTCATCGGGCAAACACATTTGCACACGGAGCCCATTCCCTGTCCTCATCTCTTTACTTTTACCTACATATGTATTTTTAAAGCAGGTCTCTTACAGATGACACACAGTTATGTCCTGTCCTTTGATTGGGAAGTTTAGGCCACTGATATTTGAAGACATTACTGGCATAGCTTGAGTTAACATCTGCCATGTTAACGGCGGTTTCTTCCTTTTGTTGCCTATATTCTTTGCACTTATATTTGGTTTACCTCTCTCTCTCTCTCTCTCTCTCTCTCTCAATATGTATCGTTTTAACTGAACATTTTGTATGAGCCTTCTTATCCTGTCTTACCTTACTAGCCACACCTTTTCCTATGCTTTTCCAGAAATTAATCTGGAGTTAGAAATATTAATCTGAGTGTCCATTCAAGTAACTGTGTCACCTCACAGGCAGTGTAGGTATCCATAGTGCCCAGGCATCCCCAGCTCACTCATGGCTCACAGGCAGTGTGGTTATCCATAGTGCCCAGGCATCCCCAGCTCACTCATGGCTCACAGGCAGTGTGGTTATCCATAGTACCCAGGCATCCCCAGCTCACTCATGGCTCACAGGCAGTGTGGGTGTCCATAGTGCCCAGGCATCCCCAGTCCACTCATGGCTCACAGGCAGTGTGGGCGTCCATAGTGCCCAGGCATCCCCAGTCCACTCACGGCCTTCCCACTAAATGATTTACACAAACTGTAATCCTGGAGCTTTTACCATGTTGAGCAGAGCAATAAGCATGAGGAAGCAAGCCAGTTCTTTCACATCATCCATCTGTCCATGCCTTCCGGGCCTGCATCACTTCTCTTCTCTCTGAAGAACATTCTGCAGCTCGGGAAGGCAGGCCTGCAGACAACAAGTTCTCCTGAGCTTCATTTACATGGAAAAGTCTTTACTTCTCTCTCTCTCTCTCTCTCTCTCTCTCTCTCTCTCTCTCTCTCTCTGTGTGTGTGTGTGTGTGTGTGTGTGTGTGTGTGTGTGTGTGTATGTGTGTGTGTGTGTGTGTGTGTGTGTGGTTGTGTGTATAGGTGCATGTGTACATGTGTGCAGATATATGCAGAAGCCAGAGGTCAACCACGGGTATCTTCTTCAGTCACTCTCCACATTATTTTGGGAGGCAGTCTCTTGCTGAAACTGCAACTCACCATCTTGACTGGCCGAGCTGTCCAGCAAACCCCAGGGGCCTTCGTGTCTCTGCCTTTCCCGTGCTGAGATTACATGTGTGTGCTGCTGGCTTCTACACGAACTCGGTCTCCATCCCTGTGTGGCAGGCACTTCAATGACTAAACCTTTCCCCCGCCCCTGCCCCTGCCCCTCCCGCTCACCTCTGAAAGACGATTATATAGAATACAGAATTCTAGGTCACAGGATTTTTCCTTTCAACCCTTCAGATGCTTGTCTGCTCTTTTCTCTCCGATGACTTCTGAGAAGCCAGATACAGTTTGGTTCTTTGCTCCTGCACAGCTGAGACGTTTGTTACTCTGATTTATTTTACTTTTCTTTAGATTTGGTGCAGTTTGGGTATTATATACTTAGGTATGGGGTTTTTGTGTCGTCTTTTGAAACAACCGTTTTGTGAGGGACACACACACGCTACCCACATGCATGAGGAAGTCAGAGCATAGCTTTCAGAAGTGGCTCCTCACCATCCAGCTTGTTGAGATATGGTCTTCCTCCTGTCTCTACCGCTCTGCTTGCTCCAGGCTAGCAAACCTACTCTCTTCTA